AGTATCATGCTCAGATATTGATTAGATGTATAATTCATCCACCTTGGGGACAGTTGGTGCATTATAACCTTAAGTACATGATCAGTTATTGATTAGATGTATATTTCATCCACCTTGGGGACAGTTGGTGCATTATAACCTTAAGTATCATGCTCAGTTATTGATTAGATGTATATTACATCCACCTTGGAGACAGTTTGTGAATATAACCTTAAGTATCATACTCAGTTATTGATTAGATGTATATTCCATCCACCTTGGAGACAGTTGGTGATATACGTGTTATGATATACGTGGCAGAACGTGCCGACTGATTTTGGAAAAACTGACAGGCGTACAAAAGAATTACCCTAAAAATCAAATACAAGTTTCGTTTCCATGAAAACCACGAACGAAGAAGAAGGTGAAGAACACGTGAAGAAGGCCTCAGTACAGAAGCCGAAACGTCGTCCTCTTTTTCACTCGACAGGCAGTTGCATTTCATCAAAGTTCTAAAACCTACTATGTCTACGCTGCCTGTAGTTCTATTTAAACAACACGAACGATGATTTCAAAGTAACTCCCAGCAACAGTGACAAGTTTTTGTTGTGTCCAACTAACTTGTTTAAAAAGCGATAAAACTGATGTCATAAGAAGTTTCAGTTTTTTAGTGCTTCCCACACAAACAAATAGTTTATCATTTAATGTGCTTGTTACTCCAATGGCATCCCCCCCTCACATACACACACACACTTATACCCTCTATACGAGACACAGAAATTGTCTACGGAGTGTTTTGAAATCTATCTCCGAAACCAAATTCAAACTTGTAAGACAACTTCAAAAATATGCAATGTTAATACTATATGATTTTGAAAATATCTAGAGAGTTCTACTTATAACAAAAACAGTTAGCTAAACTGCAAATTGAACGTTAAATGGGTCATAAAATCAGTCTTTTGGGCGTCGGAACAAGTGGGTCAGCACACCATTCGCCCTCACCCCTAATAAATTTTGATAGGTTTATGAATTTACACGATACAAGTTTATTTTTGGTCCAAAACAGATAGATCCTAAAATAAATTTGGTAGCTGAAAATACATTAAGGTAAAAACAGAAAGTCGAGTCAGTTGATCGTCAAATTATTTTTACACTCCAATTTTTCGTCTTACCTTGACCCCCCCACTGCATCAAAGTAGGCCAAAACTGCCACTCTAATTGTAAAAAAAAAAATAGTCAAAGGAGCATAACTTCTAAACATTCCCTGATTTCCGCCTTTCGGCAGGTGCTGTTTTGGTAAGCATGATTCGCTTCCGCCCCTCCCCCCATATACTTAAACAATTTGCTTCCAACGTCTATAGTTTGATGTGTTAAAAACTTAGTGAGGGAGATTTAATGTTCTATATTACAGATTGAGTCATTTTGAGCTATTGTTGTTGACCAACAGAAAACATCTATGATGACTTCCGTCAGGGCCGTAGACGGAGGGGGGGGGGGTAAAACCCAAAAATTCCTTCGATCCTGGTAAAAAGAAATCTAATTTCTTTGGGTTGCTAGTTGTTAAGCACAAAGCTACATAATGGGCTATCTTTGCTCTACCTACCACAAGTATCGAAACCTTAATTTTAGTGTAAAAGCCAGCATACTTATCACTGAGCCACTTGGGGGCGTCTAGTTCTTATTACTTAGTTTTGCCATTTGTAAATACTTTGAATTTGTATGCTATTTTACTACCGTATTTGTATGTTTCTTATGTTACTGTTAATTCATCCCAACTTGTATGTTTGTAAGCCACATTTATGTTTTTTTTTCTAAATATTGTATTTTTGTAATTGGGGGGAGGGGCTTCTCCATAAAAATTACTAAAAAAGCAAAGTTATTTTTTATAAAGAGAAACTACTCAAGATGTTAAATATAAACCAAACAAAATATTAAGAGTGGCAACATTTTGGGGGTCATATCCCCCGAATTGAATCCTGATTATGGTCTTTAATGAGTGTAAAGTGTAATGAGGAGATGCCAGTTGTGTGCGAACATTTCTGATAAACATAAATGATTTGCTAGAAGTCCTTTCGCTATGCCAATATTTATGTTTTCCTTAAATTAACATTTTTAATAAATAATATCAGGAAACAACTTATCTTAGTGGCTTCATGTGGCATCGATTTCAAGTGTAAACATTTATTGGTGAGTTTATTTGTTTGAAGTTAAGCACAAAGCTACACAATGGCTATCTGCGCTGTACATACTACGAGTACCAAAACCCGGTTTCTAGTGTCATAAGTCTTCAGGTTGACCACTGAACCACTGAGGGGCGCCATTGGTGAAACTAATAAATTTAATTTGTTTGTTTCTTTGAAGTTAAGCACAAAGCTACACAATGGGCTATCTGTGCTCTGCCCACCACGAGTATCGAAACCCGGTTTCTCGCGTTGTAAGTCCGTAGACATATCGCTGTGTCAATGAGGAGCATCTAATTTCTATTACATAGTTTTACTACTTGTCAGGAATTTGAATTTCATTTGCTCGTTTCTTACCGTACTTGTATGTTTCTTATGTTACTTTTAAGTCAGCACAACTTATATGTTTGCAAACTGTATTTTATATATTGAAAAAATATTCTATTTTTGTAATGTGGGGCTTCCCAATCAAAACTGTTAAAAATCAAAGTTCATTTTAACAGGAAGAGAAACTGCCCAAAGTGTTAAAACATAAACCAAACGTCTATCTGAGCTTGTAGGTGAAGACATCACTAGTTTATCCGGATGTAGCTTGGCAAGCTATACTACAGTTTCCTACACTACAACCTGAGCTTGTAGGTGAAGACATCACTAGTTTATCCGGATGTAACTTGGCAAGCTATACTACAGTTTCCTACTCTACAACCTGAGCTTGTAGGTGAAGACATCACTAGTTTACCCGGTTGTAGCTTGGCAAGCTATACTACAGTTTCCTACTCTACAACCTGAGCTTGTAGGTGAAGACATCACTAGTTTACCCGGTTGTAGCTTGGCAAGCTATACTACAGTTTCCTACACTACAACCTGAGCTTGTAGGTGAAGACAACACTAGTTTACCCGGTTGTAGCTTGGCAAGCTATACTACAGTTTCCTACTCTACAACCTGAGCTTGTAGGTAAAGACATCACTAGTTTATCCGGATGTAACTTGGCAAGCTATACTACAGTTTCCTACTCTTCAACCTGAGCTTGTAGGTGAAGACATCACTGGTTTACCCGGTTGTAGCTTGGCAAGCTATGCTACCTGAGATTGTAGGTGAAGACATCATTAGTTTACTCGGTTGTAGCTTGGCAAGCTATACTACAGTTTCCTACTCTACAACCTGAGCTTGTAGGTGAAGACATCACTAGTTTACCCGGTTGTAGCTTGGCAAGCTATACTACAGTTTCCTACACTACAACCTGAGCTTGTAGGTGAAGACAACACTAGTTTACCCGGTTGTAGCTTGGCAAGCTATACTACAGTTTCCTACTCTACAACCTGAGCTTGTAGGTAAAGACATCACTAGTTTACTCGGTTGTAGCTTGGCAAGCTATACTACAGTTTCCTACTCTACAACCTGGCAACTCCCAGTCATCCCTCTTTTTGTGTGTGTGTGCGCGTTTTTTCTAGTACATTACCGGTTGAGAAGCAGCTCTCGCCGTGTCCGCGTCGTTCGCGATCTGCGAAGGACGTTCCCTGTTTAGCCAGTTGAAGGATGGTATCTGGTTAGTGTAGGTGACAACGCTGCAGTTATTTTCATATTAGCGTAACATTTACTGTATTTACACAGTATCATCTGAGGAAGAATTTTACTCTTTTCAGGTTGAATTCATTAAAATATACACCGATCAATATCTCAATGTCATTTGTATTGTTCTTATAAGGTCGGTGTTAGACAATTATATTGTTATCGCCAAAGAAATCTAAGTTATTCTCTGGTATCAGCAGGAAGAAAGACCAACGAACATCGTCTTTACATATTCACAATTTTTTATTGTTCTGCTACTCTATTTTACCGTTGTTTATAATGTATATTACTTGTCGTTATTGATAACAGACTTTATTTGTAGTTGTTTATAATAGATATTACTTGTCGTTGTTGATAACAGACTTTAATTGTCGGTGTTGATAATAAACATTACTTTTCGTTGTTTATAATAGGTATTACTTGTCGTTGTTGATAACAGACTTTAATTGTCGGTGTTGATAATAAACATTACTTTTCGTTGTTTATAATAGGTATTACTTGTCGTTGTTGATAACAGACTTTAATTGTCGGTGTTGATAATAAACATTACTTGTCGTTGTTGATAACAGGCTTTACTTGTCGTTCTTGATAAATGATATTACTTGTCGTTGTTCATAATAGATATTATTTGTCGTTGTTGATAACAGACTTTACCTGTCGTTGTTGATAACAGACTTTAATTGTCGGTGTTGATAATAAACATTACTTTTCGTTGTTTATAATAGGTATTACTTGTCGTTGTTGATAACAGACTTTACTTGTCGTTGTTGAAGTAAACTTTTCTCTTTGAACAACCAAATGACAGTATCATTGAATTGTTTCATAGTTTAAGAGATTTATTATATTTATTATCAAAGTTGTTGTTTTGTTTTTTTTGGGGGGGGGTCACTCTTCTGTGTTTATCTTTGACTAAAGATGATTAATGCGGGCATGTCCTTAGTAGATATCTTCATCAAAAACCAACTTTATTTAGTTACTAATTGACTTGGCTGCTTGTGTTGCTTCGCGCACATACTGTGAAAGGACTTACGAAACAACTTATAACATTACTCCGACCTCCGAGGCAATTCTAGAGAATTTGCGTGTTAGACTCTGCACTACGTTCTTAAAGCTATGGTATTCGAGCACGGGCTAGTTTCCATGGCAACCACCAACTTGACAGACAGGTCTTGGTCCCGCCTTTACCGCACGACTAGTAAAATAAATTTGACGGAGCGTAGGGCGCGGTGTATGAGAAGGGAAGACTGTCGAGGACGACAGCAGATGCGTTTCGCTGAGCTTTGTGTTCCAGGAGGTATCATGCTTCGTTTCTGATCGTCTGAACTAGATCACAGATTTATCCTCTCCTCTAACAATACACCCACCTTGTGCAGTGGCTTACCCCATCTGGTGGCCATTTCCGAATCACGTGGACCTTTAACTGTCTAGTAAGTAGTAGCGGCTCAGACCAGAATAGTGTAGAACCTTAAACTTGGAGGTTCAAAATCGTTGAGACCGTAGTTGTTCGATTCTCTCACAGTCAGATCTAGATTGATTTAGGCTTTTTTTATATCTTCAATATTTTTCACGGTGACACTGATTTTCAGAAGAATTGTTAAATTAGTATCAGGACATTAGCCCTATCGGCAGGTTCACGTATAGTAGCCGTAACACTCAATCTCGAAGCCTCTTCACAAATATCCCGCTTGTCTGGCTGAGAGTGGACTGGCTCGATAACACGACATTAACGGCTCTCGAACAGCCCAATCGTCCAGAAATCGGCATAGGATGAGACGATAACCGTCATCGAGTGCGACAGGGGTCAGAAAAAAAAAGCAATATCCTCGGAGTTCAACCGGTCTGGGACAGAATAAGTTGCCCGGCGTTGGTCAGCCATCCGAACAGGGCTCAAGAACCGCATTTTTTCTACATACACTATGAAGATGGTCCAGTGTGCAGGGTGCGATCGGCCAATCTTGGACCGTTTCTTACTGAATGTCCTGGATCGGTCCTGGCACGCTGCTTGCGTCCACTGTTGCGAGTGCAAGTGCAACCTGACAGAAAAGTGTTTCTCCCGGGATGGAAAACTTTACTGCCGGAACGACTTTTTCAAGTAGGTTAATCACGTTTGTTTTCAGTCTTACCGATTTTAACAATTTCTTTTCATACTAAACACGATCTTTTCATTCTCATACTAAACACGATCTCTTCATTTAACTAACCCTAAAGTATCTAACAAACAGTACGACTTTAAGTATATGAAACGTAGTGCGTTTGAATACACCAAATATGTTTAATTTATATTTCAAAAATAGCTTTAAATGGTACTTGAAAAATAGTTTTTGTAGAAATTTTAAACAATGATATACTAATTTTTAAGTAGTTTATAAATAACGATATAAAACAACTAAACTTGCTGTGTAATTGCTGCAGATCACATATACTAATAAGCATTAGCTGTAAGTATAGTGTAGACCTGATGAACACACTTGCTCACTGAATTAAAGCCCTACATTTAGCTTGTCTAGAAGAAGAGTTCATTTTGATGGTTGTTTTATGTAAACAAAATGATCCTTTATTTTATGTAATTATGTAAACAAAATGATCCTTTGTTTTACGTAGTTATATAAACAAAATAATCCTTTGTTTTACGTAATTATGTAAACAAAACCATTCTTTGTTTTACGTAATTATGTAAACAAAATGATCCTTTGTTTGCGTAATTATGTAAACAAAATGATCCTTTATGGTACGTAATTATATAAACAAAATGATCCTTTGTTTACGTAATTATGTAAACAAAATGATTCTTTGTTTTACGTAATTATGTAAACAAAATGATCCTTTGTTTTACGTAATTATGTAAACAAAATGATCCTTTGTTTAACGTAATTATGTAAACAAAAATGATCCTTTGTTTTACGTAATTATGTAAACAAAATGGAGCATTCATTGAACAAAAGAGGACCGAGTTTTAATAGTTTGCCTCTGTTAATATTTCCTTCGAGTTGTCTTGGGAAATCCAAAGTTTATTAAGTAAAATAACAATATTTTTTAACCCGTGTAAAATGTCAATATCTGAAATACTTACTAGAGAAAGAGCCGAATTCGTTGATTTGTACCGAATACATTAGAGGAACGTATATATTTAAACGCCTATAAAAAGAAGCTTAATTTGTAGCTTTTGAGCTTTTTTCATTGAGTTCTATGTATACACGTATCATGCAAGTTTTACAATGAATAATAATAACAATTAGAATTTAAGATGACCACCACTGAAAGCGCTAGAAGAACGTTCTTGCTTGTTATGATTTCAGGTTAATTTATTTTTACTTTACTAAAGCATTTTACGTTTTTTTATGCTTTAATTTACTATTGTACGTAGTGCTATCTTTTGTTTTTAATTTACTTTTGTGTGTAGAGCTAGCTATTTTGTGTTTTAATTTCGAAATTAAATCTGGAACCAACAGCATATGTTAGTAAAGAAGTTATATACTTCACCAATAAGTTTGTTTAGTTGAAGCCTAATATGCGGTACAAAGTGTGCGGCCTGTAAAGGGTTTTAGTGTTGTTAGATCTCTATTTTATCACATGTCATCTTGAAAGGATAACCATACATTATGCATGTCCATCATGGAGATTCCAAGATATCAATAAAAGTTTCAAAGAAAAGTAATATCCTTATTAAAATAAAGAAATGTTTAATATTTTTATTGTAGAGAAAACCTAAACTAAAGCTTATTTCAAGCGTGAGGCATGGCTAACTTTCTCACGTGACTACCAAGTCGCCAGTAACGTTCATTTAAATCGAAGCGTAGGATAAGTCCCTGTTTATGCAAACAGAAACAACAACAACTATTTTACAAGAGTCTCTGGAAGACCCACCCTATAGTATGTGTAAGGACATATTTCGATGCTGCAAGGTTAAGACGTGTGTGTAAGTGACCAATGTGCTTGCTTGAAAAGTGATTGATTCACGACATCCGTCTGTATTATCACACCCACTTGTTATTTAAGTGTAAGAACTGGTTTTCAGCTCGGTAAAGGTGAAAGCCTGTTAACGAAAGATTGAGAACCATTTCTATACAATTTTTGTATATAAATGTATATATACGTATGGGTAAAAAGGACGTGGGCCAGCTATGTGTATGGAAAAGTTTACTTGGTTTGCTGGGATGAAAAGTGGCTCGAGTTTGTTTGTTATGAATTTCGCGCAAAGCTACACGAGGGCTATCTGCGCTAGCCGTCCCTGATTTAGCAGTGTAAGAC